AGTGGCCACCAGAAAGAATCCCCAGTCCATTAGGGTGAACAGAACTGGGACCTGGGACAGCCCATTTTAGATCTTGCTCCTGTATAATTCTAACATAATCTTGGATAGAATAAATTCTTTAGTGGAAAGAAAATGTTTTGAAAAAGATGACGACAACATAGGTACAGATGTGTTGGACACAATGGATATATGTATGGATTGTGATAAGAGCTCCCAATGAAATAAAATTTTTAAGAAGTTATAAAAGATAGAGCATAAACCTACACACAAAAACGCTGGAGAAGTTTCTAGTCACTAAGCCAATCTTTGGGTCTTAAACACTTGCAGACTTTAAATAAGTACTGTATTTTATACTCATTAAATACAGGAAGGTAGCATGGGAACAACACAGCATTATCCTGACTCTTAGAGAACTTACATTCTGCCTGGGGAAATATATACGAGGGGACTTTAAAAGTTCAAGGAAAAAATGGAGTCGCGTGGTAATGGAGTTATTCCACAAACTTTCTGAAGCCCCCTTGCATTCAGCAGGCAACTCCGAGCACGATACGAGTCGGAAGAACAAGGGAGGCGGGGAGCACGGATGAAAGGTGAAGGCAGACTTGCCCTAGAGGAGCCGGGAGGAAACTGGGAAGCGGCTGTGCCCTTACAATTCCAGAAAAGCCCGTGGCCTGTTCTCAAACACAACATAACAGGGCGCAGCTGGGAAAGGGAAACCAGATTCTCAAGAAGGTACAGAGCAGCATAGGAGGTGGCAAAGCTGTCGGAAGTCAGGGAATATGTATGAGGAGAGAGAACATCGGTGGGAGGTTGCCTTGCAGTGAAATCTTACACCTTTATACTACTACAGAGTAGGAGCTGCGGTAGCCTTCAGATACATTTAAGGAGCGTCTTCTGGCAAGGGAGAGAAATGTCCAGGAGATATTCACACTGCATTGGGGTTAGAGGGAAAGGATGGAGCTCAGTGAAGCTGACCCCAAGGCTTAGCCTCCCTCCCTCTGGCCAACAAAGTGCATTTCTTCAGTCCTGCTATTTTCATGGAGATGGATGAGAAGAAGAGATGTGATTGACATGAGACACCCATCGTGAAAACAGTTCTCCACTTTGGTAGGTACAGGGAAGGGAACAGGGGTCAAAATTAAGTCCATTCTTTTCAGGCCTTCGGGCCAGTTCAGAGTACTGGAGATATTAGCTTGGATCTGACAAAGGCTGTGATTATCAGGGGACTTATTTTCGGAGAAGTCAGTACTTTACCCGTAATAAATAGGTATACATTTAGCATCATGTGTTCATTTGAGTATTGTGATCCCCTCCTGCAATGTGAACGCCTTGCCGAGCCCAGAAAGAGACCATTGCTAACAGTGTATTACTCAAAAGTGATGGGTCTCAAATGGTATCAGAAGGAAATATCGCAGGGAAATCATTTCCGTCGTTTCACAGATGAAAAGGCTAATTGATAAGGAGGAGGCATGGGGACAGAATAAAGATTTACTTGGCAAGGCCTGCTGATATTTGCAATGAAGAAGTTTCCCCTTAGGAACGAAGCAAAACTATTATTCCCTGGATGACTGCTTCATTAGACCTTTGATTAATATAATATATTGCTCACATTATGAGATCCACTTTATTACAGATGGGAGAGAGGTAGACAAGTTCCGCTTTAATTATAAATCCACTATCAAGGAAATGATCATGTTGTCTTTGATCGTCAGGAGACACTGAAATTGATTCTTTAAAATGATTGATCACCTTTGATGCTGTGTCCTTAAAAGCATGTGGGCTGAGGAATCAGCTTGGCAAAAGAACGATATTGGGTAAAGATTGTAGACTGCTGGGACTCTGTCTGATGTATACATGAAAAGACAAATGGCAGGAGAAAGAGGGTAATTGGAAAGGCTTTTATGGAGGACTATCTACAGAAACACAGGCAGGTTTAAGGACCGATGATGCCCCTGTGATGAACAGCAGGAAGTGGCCAGTACCTATGTTAGGCCTGCTGACCAGACAAGGGAAGGTGCTGTCAGCAGAACACAGGAGGAGTCAAGGTGCCTTTTGTAGAAAGCACAGACACTATCAAATACACCTCACTGGAAGAGAGCTGGGAGCTAAATGCTCAATAACCCTCACCCCACTTTCTCATCTCCTGGGTGAACTTAGCTGGAAATCAGAGAAAGGAGAATCTGGGTGATGCAAACCCCAAAAGTCAGCTTCTCGGTCACAGCAAGGATCCGAAGGGGCGAATGGAGAATGACCAGCATAAAGATAAGGATGCCATGCCAGTCTCCTATCAGCTAAGCCTCCCATCCCACCCCACCTGGTCACTTCAGTCACGGGCTGGCCCCTGGGTAGCCCATTCCTTCCCTCTGGGCCCCAGTGCCTGATTCAGCCTTTTTAGCCTCTCTGTTTACATCTACCACCAATAGTCTGCGTATGTGAGAATCTTCCAAAGGCAAAGGAGCCTGGCTATGGAGAAAAAGTTCTATAGGATAAAGTCACCACAGCGGGGCCACGTGGACCGCACCCTTCCAGCATCATGGTTCCCTAGAAAAAAGACATTCCAAAGTTCTTTGAAATCTACTGCATGCATTTTTGGCTTTGCACATTAGTATCACCGGTTGAATAAAGAGAGCTGACACGGAATGTTCCTGTGTGTAAGGCATTGCATTCTCATTTAATCCTTCTGATGACCCCCCGCCCCCCAAACCCGCCCCTCACAAAACCCCAACAAACAAACAAAAATATCATCTTGTGGTCTAGAGAATTTACATTTGTTGTGAAGTGAAGTTAGTGGTATGTAACTAATGGGATAAAGCAATTGGCCTAAATACTCCACTGCCAGGGTCTGAAAGTAGAGAAGAAAGAAACGCCTTATGCCCCCTCCTTCCTTTGTTGCTGCAATAAGTGCCAGCTACTTTGTTCCTACGTATAATGAGCCCCACACAATAGAATGACAAACTGTCTAGTCCTACGCTGTCCTCAAAACTGTTCCTGTGTTGCGTCACTACGTAAGTGCATCTCAATGAGGGTCTTCGTCTTTTTCACTCTCTTCCAAGCACGGAGTGTTCCTCAAGGAACTGTCCAAAGAGCACGAGGCCAAGTCTTGCTAGCTTCTCTTCTAAGGAGCATCTTCTAAGACACATTTCATTCTTCTGGAAGCCCGTGCTATAATCAATATTCTTGATCAACACCATCATTTAAATGCATCAACTCTTCTCTGATCGACTTTATTACTTGCCCAGCTTTCACATGCATATGAGGTGATGCAAAATAGCGTAGCTCGAGTCAGGCACATTTTACGGCTGCAAATGCCCTCACAGTGACATCTTCGCTCTTTCATGTTTAATGAGGCCGTGTGCAGCAGATTTGTCCAATAAAGTAGGTCTTCTCATGTCTTGACTGTCGTTTCCATAAATATTGATTGTGGATCCAGGTAAAATAAAATCCTCGAAAACTTCAACATTTTCCACAATATTATATGTATATAATATATATTATGAGAGAAAGATGGGACTTTCTACTCTTGTAAACAGTTACAGTCTTGGAAACTCAAAGGGTGTGATTCTACCCTGCCCTATAGGGTCATAATGGGTCTGCATTGACTCAGTGGCAAAGAGAGAGGGTGAGAGAGAGAGAGAGAGAGAGAGAGAGATACACTTAATAGATCTGATCTAACACAGTTCAAAATGTAGAAGAGTAAACTGTTTATGTATATTTTCCTTTGTTTACATTCCCCTGATATATTTAGGGACTTAGGGAACATATAGTGGTATGAGCTTTTAGATGTTAAAACAAACAAAACCCACAGATCTGCTTATTCATTTTTTCTAATATGCATTCCTCTTCTAGCCAGTTTGCTCTGGATCCTGAGCATGCAACATTTCTCCTTTGGCAAAATCTACATCTTCTAGAGTCACGCCCGAATGTTTTATAGAAGGGAGAACGTCTTCCATGCTTTGGAATGTTATCAGGAGAGACCAGTCCCTGGAAAAGGACATCACACTTGGTAAAGTAGAAAGGCAGACAAAAAGGGGAAGATCCTGGGCAAGATGGGTTGACCCAGTGGCTTCAACAATGGGCTCAGACGCAACACCAATTGTGAGGCTGGCACAGTGTTTCCTTCTACTGGGCATGGGGTTGCTATGAACTGACCTGAAGGCACCAGACGACAGCGGCATCTTTGTGCCACTATCTACTGAACTTATCTTCTTCCCTCTCATTTTCTAGACTCTTAGAACATTTTTTACTTTCATATCGCCTCTCCATAAAGAAAAAAGATGATTACAAGAGTCTGTCTTTGGGCTTCAGGCATACATACACTGAACTGCAGCCGTCAGCTTTAGTCTTTTAGAAACCACCTTGGTAGGGGCTGGTGAAGTCTATTTCACCACTCCACACCTTTGCCTTGTGATTTTTGGCTGAAGTTTAGACATGATGTCGGCTCGTGCAATAGTGTATGCTGACTCCAAACTTACGTATGGATTTACCATAGAGTCTACAGAGCGTCGAGGTATCCTTCTGTCCTCTGCCTCTCTCCACTTTAGTGGGTCTTCTTTTCTTTCCAGGAGACCTCCCTCTGTGAAACCCTCCACTTTAATGGTAAGAGCCACCGCACAGCCTAACTGTGTCAGTAAATCACCAAATAGGTATCTGGCTCTCTCAGTTTAATTCATTCACTGGTACAAGAACGCTACTCCTTGGGGATCATACTACAAAAAGATACTTACACATATATTCTTTTAAATACTTATGTTGACTTGCATTTGGAAAATTTTTATGCACATTATGATATAGTACTAACATGATGCTTAGACTATGCTATTATTATTTTTTGTAATTTCTTTCAGGAAAGAAGAGGCTCACTGCACAGTATCTTATTTATTGAATGATCCTATGTATTATAATACTTAAGAGTAAAAGATGCTTCTCTTTTGTTTCCAGAGGGGGAAAAAAGTTCTGCGGCATTTTGGGGCACAAGTAAGAATATTCATTTATAAAAAGCCATGCTTACTTTTCATAATGCCTGCTGGGTGCCCAGTTCCTTCCAGCTCATTGGCATTCCAGGGCTGGAGTCCCTGCACCTCTGGCTTTCCATCCCTTTCGGCTCAATGTACCTGGTGGCTGTGTTGGGGAATATGACCATCTTGGCAGTAGTCAGGGTTGAGCGCAGCCTACACCAGCCCATGTACTTCTTCCTGTGCATGCTGGCTGTCATTGACTTGGTTCTTTCGACTTCTACTATGCCCAAATTGCTAGGCATCTTCTGGTTTGGTGCTGGTGACATTGGTCTGGATGCCTGCTTGGCCCAAATGTTTCTCATCCACTGCTTTGCCACTGTGGAGTCAGGAATTTTCCTTGCCATGGCTTTTGATCGCTATGTGGCTATCTGTGACCCACTACATCACACCTCAGTGCTCACCCATGTGGTGGTGGGTCGTTTGGGACTGGCTGCCCTTTTCCGGGGCATACTCTATATTGGACCCTTGCCTCTGATGATCCGATTTCGCCTGCCTCTTTACAAATCCCGGATAATATCACACTCCTACTGTGAGCATATGGCGTTAGTTACTTTGACATGTGGTGACAGCAAGGTCAACAATGTCTATGGACTGAGCATTGGCTTTCTTGTGCTGGTTCTGGACTCAGCAGCCATTGCTGCCTCCTATGTCATGATTTTCCGGGCTGTGATGGGGCTAGCTACTCCTGAGGCCAGACTGAAAGCTTTGGGGACATGTGGTTCTCACATCTGTGCCATCCTTATTTTTTATGTTCCCATTGCTGTTTCTTCCCTTATTCACCGATTTGGTCACTATGTATCTCCTCCAGTCCACACCCTCCTGGCCAATTTCTATCTTCTCATTCCTCCAATCCTCAATCCAATCGTCTACGCTGTCCGCACAAAGCAGATCCGAGAAAGACTTCTCCAAATCATGAAAATAGACGTGAAAAGCAGATGACGGCTGCTTCCTTCTTCCTTCCCAAATATGCTCATAAAAAAAAGACGGGTTATAAATCTTTATTTAAAAAGAAGCCTGCTTCTCCAATTGGGAGCTTACTCCCCTCAGATCCTGAATCCATCTGTAGGATCCCTATTCATGATATGCTGGGCTCTTAAAATGGACTAGCTCAAAATAAGAGAAAGCTACCAATTTTAGAATTTATACTAACAACTGGGCCAATAAACAACACGATAATAAATGGATAAAAGATTAAAGTTGTCAGAGATTTCATTTTTTTAATCCATAATCAACACCCACGGAACAGCCATCAGGAAATCAAACAATGTGTTACATTGGGCAAATCTGCTGCAAAGTGTTAAAAAAAATGCAAAGCTGTCCCTTTAAAGGATAAGGTGCACCTGACCAAAGCCATGGCATTTTCAATCATTCCATATACTTGTTAAAGCTGCAAAACGAATAAGAAAGATCAAGGAAGAATCAATACCTTTTAATGATGGTGTTGGTGAAGAATTTAAATAGGCTATGGATATCTAGAAGAATGAAAATTAGAAATCTGGTTTGAAAGAAGTATAGCTAGAATGTTCCTTAGAAGTAAGGATGGTAGGAATATGTCCCACCTACTTTGGACATGTGGTCAGGAGGGACCAGTCTCTGGAGAAGGACATCATGCTCGGTAAAGGAGAGAGCCAGCCAAAAAGAAGAAGGCCTACAAGCAGATGGACTGACACAGTGGCGACAAGAATGGGCTCAATCATAGGAACAACTGGCAGGCTGATGAAGGAATAGGCAGGGTTTCATTCCGTTGTACATAGGGTCACTATGAGTCAGGGCAGACTTGGTTTACAGATGAGTTGGATAGGTATTGCCTAAAATAAATGGAAGTTACATTGTAGCCAATTTTTTAAAAATGGCACTGAATGAGTAGAGAAGTAAAGTCTTCCCAATGGGTAGAACTCCAAGTGTCGCACCTGATCATCCACTTTCTGTGCAAGAAAAAGTGGCCCAAAATGAGGATGTAAATCTGTGCCCAATGACAATGGTCTGTTGCCTTTTCAGGCTTCTAGGAAGTTGTGCAGATTTTTGTTTCACCAGAAGTCAACTGCTGTAGAAGAGACATCGAATAACCAAGTAACAAATAATTCTGCTGGCTGGCAATAGCTATATTCCGTTGGTGGTCACTTTAGAATTAGCATCATAGGTTCCTGAGTGGAATGTCATAAATAAAGACCATGTATGAGCCCAGCATGAATACTCCAATTGACCAAGTTTGACTACTATTGCCTCTTAATGTCTAACATGTCAGCAATAAATACCAATGGTAAAACCCAGATATGACACTTTTCCTCCACTTAACATTGGGCTGCGTTTCTCCTGGAAAAGTCAGGGACTCACAGACATAGACATTGATGGGCATTGTCTTTCTCACCCACACAGACATGGCCTGCACCCTTCTTTGAGGGCTTTACTGTATATCTATAGTCATGAATCCCTTGTGACATAGCATCTGAACAGGGACTAGTTTAACAGCAAAGGTTGTATACATGATAGGGAACATGTCCATACTGCACTGGTAGTATCACACACCTCACCAACCAGAAGACGGTGGCCTCAGAGAATCCTAGATTAGCCTTTGAAAACAGCTGAGTAGCAGCTTAAAGGCAACAGGTCAAAAACGCAGGGGGTCACCCTTCGGGCTTCCGTATACATGATCAGTGATTATTACATGGTGCTGAAGTCCCAGTAAAAAGAATACATGTGTCCAGGAACCAAAGGTTAGAAGCAGGAATAATCCTATTTACCATCATTTCCAAAGATACACCGAGGGTCCCCCAAACTCTTGGCTCTACAGACATGGAGCCCTGAAGGGGGCTCATTCTAGCCAAAGGATATAACAACGGGCCCACGGAACCACAAGGTATGATGCTGTCAGGATATTTTGAACGTTTGTGCAATGGGACTAGCAAGGGAAACGAGGAGCTACCACACTGGCAGGAGTAATTGATCTCAAGCTATGATAGGGAAGAATGTAAGTGGGAGACAAATAATTCACTTAGGGCCCCCCCCCCCCAATACTCCCTTGCCTCACTGTAACTATGAAAATAATCATGCAGCAGTCAAAAGTGAGACATATGTAATTAACAAGAGATATAATTAACACAGGAATGGACGTTTGGATTATTTCACTAGATGGGCCGCAATAGGATTGCTGAGGGTGAGAAGAATTCCAAATAGATAGTGGAAGAGGAGGAGGATCAACAATAGTTGTGGCTCTGAGACAAACTTCAGAGATGAGGCTTATCATAGCATCCTTCTTCTTCTAGTTTCCCCTGAGCAAGAGAACCCCACAGAACTATGGAGGAGCTGGCCTCAAATCTGTTTGAGAGGCACCTGTGCAGTACAAGAATGGATTGGGGTGGCTATCGGGACCCGTGCATCTAAGATCTGACTGTGGTGGGCACATTTGACTTATAGTCTCAGCTGCTTTGCTCTGAAACACACTGCATTTGTACCAAGATTCCACTTACCCTAAATTGCTTAATGAATGAGCACAATGGTGTTGATCAGGCTGTTTCCAAAGATATATACTGGAATCCACTCATGAGTATCTTTGGCTGAAGAACTCTCTATCAGCCTTGCTAAAATTTTCTAAGAAATGTACTAAAGCCTAAGATTTTCCTTCCTTCTTTATTATCTGATGGTTCTTCCAGTCACGAAGGAGCCCTCTCTGTTTTCTATTACAGCCACCTCCCACTCCCATACCCAATAATGGCACACCCATCATGGCATCTTCTTTAAGGATTCGCTTTAATGCAACCCAAAAAATAATTTTATGTTTAAATAAGCAAAATGTTTCATTTCATTCCCCGTGCCCTAGGTGTAATTAAGGTCATGGCAACAGAGAACCGCATCCTAAATCTTGAACCCAGAAAACCGTTGGGAAAGTATAGGCATAGGAATATAGAATTAATTGCTTCGTACTTGCAAGGATAAAACTTCTGGGAAGCTTTGGGTTGGTGGAGTAAACAGACCCAGAAATACTCATGGTTGTAGCTTCAGAAGAGATTATCGTTAGCCATTCGGCTAAATTTTAGTCATAAGATCCCCACCCTATGTAGTCGTCCCATCTTCCTTCAGTGTTTCTCAAGCATACCCTACCCTTCTCTCTACCCTGAACACAATCTCCTAGTAAATGTAAGCTGCTGATTTTACAGATATCACTTAAAAGAAAATTCTCAGCTTTAAGCTAAAGATTCAACATTAGAACATTTATAGGTAGTGATTTTTGGTCATCTTTAGCAATATAACAAGTTAAACTTTTATTTTATTCTTACCATAAGACAAGTAGCTTTCTATTCAGACTGTACCTCCATTCCAGGAGTGCAATTGAATATAGATTATGCATTAGAATTTTAGAGTGTCTTAGGTAGGGCCACACCCTCTTCCAGTCAAAGAGCTCACAGGTTAGGTGGGGAGGGGACACTCAGACCCAGATGGAATTCCTGACAACCTATATATTTTCTGAGGTTACGGTATCTCATATAGATGTAGTTTATGCTGGCTCAAAACGGTAGAGGACTTATTCCCAGAAGAACATCTTTCAGGCCCAGGGGGTTGCTGCTGGTAAGGTGGCTGGTTTATGTCAATTGATGAAAAAAAAGGCATTTGACAATATCCAACACCACTGTTGAGAAAAATGTTCAGCAAAACAGGGATATAAAAGAAATTCCAATCATAATTAAGTGTATCCATACTAAATCAATGGTAAATATTATTTTCAAGAGAACAAGACTGGTATCAGTTCCAGGACCCAGCAAAGATGTCCTTCATTACCACTCCTAGTCAATACTATTCTGGGAGTCCTACCGAGATAAGGAAAGAAAGCAAAGTAAAAGGCATCCAAATTGGCAAAGAAGTAAAATTCTATTTGCGATGATATGATCCTATATAAATAGAATATCCCAGAGATTCAACAAGGAAACTACTAGAACTAACAAAGATTCAGAAAAATAGCAGGGCACATGATCAACATACCTTAAAAAAAAAAAGGTCAGATTACTCTATGCTAGCATAGAGAATGCTGAAAAGGAAACCATGTTAACAATACCATTTTGGTGGTAGTTGATGTTTTTCTTAGATATTATTTATTATTTGCTGTAACTTCTCTCTCCTTCTCTACCTCTCCTCTCTCTCTTCTCCATAATTCCACCTGTCAGGATTTAGCAATCATATACACATGTCCTAGACACATCAGTACCCCTGAAATCCTACACACTGGATGTGGGCTACTACCCACTCCTGTACCATGCGATCAATGAGGCACAGTGACCACACCAGTCAAACCTTCTATCAACTGTGCTACAGAACAGTGAACAAAGAACTCCTTTCACATCAAGTGCATTGGAGACAAGTGGTGAGGTGGGAAGTACTTAAGAATACACCGACATACAATGTCTAGTTCAATACAAACATAATACTACTACCACAATGTTTTGGATACAACATGCAATTTTAGTTCAAACCTATACACAAAAGGGGTGTGGTGAAAACAGGTGACCAAAGCAGAGTCAGAAAACCTTACTGAGGAAGAAATAGCATTTGAACAGCCTGGTGGGGAATGTAAACAATGGTATTTAGGTGTTTTCAAGGATTAGAGGCAAAGATTAAAAAAGCTTCAGATGAAAAAAACAGCAGCAAACAAACCAAAAAAAGTCACATAATTCAGGAAGCCACTACAAAACCAAACTGACAAAATAAATTTTTTAAAAGAGAAGCTATATAAAATCAGCATATATAAATCTGGAAGAGTACAGTGAAAGGGCAACAGTGTGGAGTTGAACCATTTATGGACTAATATCAGACATATGGGATAATATCAGACTTACAGACAATCTGGATTGGGCTGGGATGTTTTCTCAACATACTATTGCTCTTTATATAAAACTCTCACTTACACATATGAGTGTCAATGAATTTGTTTCTCTAGTCAACCCGGTCTA